CCCGCAACGCGCCCAAGTGGCCGTCCAGGCAAAGCGCTCGTTGCGTGCTCTCTCCCCCTACCGCGCCGGCTGCGTGTTCCTGCTGACATATCCCCCGCCGCCCACGGACGCCGCTTGAAGGCGGGCCCCGCAGGCCGACTACTCTCGACCGGCCTCTTCGCGCCCCCTTTTCCCCCACCGCCGCGCAGCAGCATCCGAGTGCCGCGCGCCACCGTGGGCCGTCGCAACGAGGCCCAATGCATCACGTTGTCTTTGGCCCGGCGGTGCAGAAGTGACCAGCATCCGCCACGATGCGAGTGCCGCCACGGCGCAATCGCCCAGGCGCGGGCCAATCGATGGGCGGGCGCCAGCGAGTGAAGGCGCCGCTGGGCCACTTCATTGCAATAAATGAACCCGCGGCTAAACCGCCCAACGCCCCGGAAATCGTGAGAAGTGCCGTGAGCGGCACTGCCGCAAAGCAAAAAACAAAAGTCAAAGTAAAATAAATAAATAAGAACAACAAAGTACATAAATAATCCCAAGGCGTCAAGCGAAGGGCACAGGCAGGAATAGAGAACGGACTGGCAACACACACAAACACATACACTCACGCAAACGCAAACGCACACGCACAGCAAAGGGCTTGCGTGAGGTGACAGCAGGAAAAACACAGAAGAGAATGGCAAACTCAAATCCAATACTGCCTGGTACATATATATATATATTTATGTACCGCAACGTGCTGGCGAGAGTAAAAGTTAAAACATTTTAAAATAATGAGAAGGAGAGAGAGAGAGTTCGGCAGCAAAAACGACATATACGCATGCGCAGTTTGATAGATGCATATATCAATTTGGTCCTGTTCCTTGCAGAAACTCCACCCATATCCTTCACTTTGCCTCCTCCTCCTCCCCCCCTCCCTTCTCCTCCACTCACAAACCCCGTATACACACACATATATACATATATATATATATATACGCGAGCACACACACACACAGAAAAAAAGGCGCATTGCAAACTTTTACTCGCCCCCTCCTAAACAATCTACTTCGCACATGATTGTTACTACGCTCTTGTGCTGTTCAATGTGCCTTTGCCCTGTATGCATGTGTGTGCGCGTGTTTTTCCCGGACACCTTTTCTATCCCTATTTCTTCCTTTTCCCTCACTTTTTTTTTTTTCGGGGGCTTCATCGCTGTTTAGCCAGTGCATATTTTTCCTTGTTGTTGGCCTTTTTTTCTGTTCTTCCTTCCTTTTCTCGTTTTGGAGAAATGAGGGGAGTGGGGAGAGACGCAGAAGGCGGCGGAGGAGGGGGATTCCACCTGCCCCTTCCTCCGCCTTTTTGCTTGACTCCGCCCGACTATCGCCTGCTTTGCTCCGCCGCCGGCATTACTACTGCCACCCTCCACCCCGCCCCTACTGCGCTTTTTTCCGCGCCCCACACCGCACACTCCGCCGCACACTCCCGCCCCCACGGCGCCGCTTTCCCTCCCACGCCCGCTGCCTCCCCAAAGCCGTCGGCGGCGCGCGCGCCTTTTACTGTGCGGGTGGCTGGGCGATGCAGGGAGCGCAGGCGTAGGCGAGCCGTAAGCCGACAACAGCAACAAAACACGCCTGCGCTCCCTGCATCGCCCAGCCACCCGCGCCCTCGCCCACCGCCTCTCTCACTCCCACACTGCGACCCCCTCCCTAACGACGAAGCTGTGATTACCCAGCGTGGGAAGCATGACGCGGACCTCCTCGGGGGCCACCGCGGAGTTCCATGGGAGTGCCTGCACGTCAAACACCGAAGTGATGAACAAAAAGTGTTCGAACATGACGCCAGGCGGCGGGGCCCGCTCCTGCATGAAATCGTATATTTTCTCCCTCTGCGCCTGGGTCACATCCTTCCGCATCCCGCGGCGGAGCTGATCAATACCCTTAAAGAACCGCTCCGGCGTCAGTGCGCGGTCCGTGGCGGAGACCTTAAAGATGTACGGCAGCTGACTCCGGGCCTGGATGACGACGCTCTGCAGCTGCTCCATGGCCTCAAGATCCCAGCGCAGGGGGTCGGACACGGGGTGCGCCGCCTTCTCCGCGAGCAGCTCCAGGAAATTCGGTCCATCAATCAGGCCCTTGCCGTCCTTGTCTAGGTAAATAAACAGTTGAAAGAGTTGCGCCTCACTTGTCGTGTAGTCAACGACCCGAATGACGGAGCAGAAATCCGCGTAGTTGACCATTCCCTTGCTAAACGACACTGAAACGGACTGGGTGCGATGGCCGTCTCGTTGCTTCCCCACCAGCCTATACAGTGCACTTTCCATCCAATCCCTGAGCCAAAGCGGTTGAAGAAAGCTGTGGAACTTCTCCAGAAAAGGCGAGTACCAGATGCGTGAGTTCTCGTCCTCAGCCACGAGGTAGCCGCGCAGAAAGAACCACGGAAGGTCTAAGTTAAGCACATTGCGCATCGCCTCCGTCCACTCAATCTTCCACACAGACCCTTTGCAGGTGCGGTCAAGCTTCGAAAAGTAGGAGAGAAGCCGATGCCGTCGTTGGTAGATGCGCTCGCGCAACACGCGGAGCACGTCATCCCGTGTCCGTCGCCGCAAGAGAAGGCTTGACTGGGAAACTGTGGGGAGGCTGGTGGACTTCGCCACGGTGGGCGTGAAAGGCTCGAAGAGGTCAACGGCGGCGTACAACTCCTCGTCTTCCTCGACGCGGAACGGGTGGCACGTCGGCTCGGGGTTGTCGCCGATGAAGACGGCGTAGCTGGCTAGGTTTGACTCGGGTCCATCGTAGTTGCTCGCGGAAAACACGGTCAGGAGTTTCCTGTCGTGGTGCTCCTCGTACCCTTTCAGGCACTCCTCGTGCGAGCGCACGATGAGCTCTAGTTCGTTGTTCTTGAGAAAGTCGTGGGTGAGGTCGGGGCCGAAGATGACCCCCGCCCCCCGCACGCTCTCCCGCCACCCCTGCATCTCCTCCACCGGGTCCGACCACAGCAGGTCCTGGAAAAGCTCATCCTCCTCCGGCTGCGAGTTCTCCGGCATTGGAATCTGCCGGAAGCGCTGAATCCGGCCAATGTCCGCAAGTGTCACACCCTTGCGGCGTGGCAGACCGCCATGCACGACGAACACCTTCTTTCCAATGATGGTTGCAAGGGGCAGGGCGCAGAAGCAGCGCTGGATAAGACGAAACGTGTTCCGATCGTATTTAGTGCTGACCTCGACATCGAACCCATACTCGTCATTCATGTAGTCACACTCGTGGTTGCCACGGTTCAGGGCGACGTATTTGGGACAGACCAGCAGAAGCGAGAAGAGAATTAACAATACCTCCACACCTTGGGGGCCACGGTCCACAAAGTCTCCGTTAAAAATGTAATATGTGCCTTCGCTTGGCATGCCATTCTCATTGAGGATGTGTAGGAGGTCCCCCAGCTGTCCATGCAGGTCTCCAACCACAATAGTTTTTGAGCCTTGCATAACCATTCCGTTTGAGACACGTGCCCCGAGAGGAGGGTCAAGGCGCACGACGTTTGGCATGGTGTTAAGCAGATTCAGGGCCTGGGAGAAGACACGCCAGGCAGAAGGTTGTGGGGGCAACACATGTTTCTCAAGGTCCTTCATGAGGTGTAGAATGTCTGAAAGAGAAATGGGCGTGGCCGGGGAGGATGCTATATAGTGCACTGTGAAGGCGGGTGTCGTCACAGACTGGATGACGGAGCGTGAACGTTTTGGCACCAGCACGCTGGACTGACTGACGTCGTCGCGCGCCTTAAATATGGCAAACCCCTCCTTCTTGAGGTCCAGCTCCCGAAAGGTCAGACGAAAGATGGTTTCCTCAATGTACAGCTTGGCCTTCATCCATCGCCAGAGAAGCTGCATTCGTGCCACGTTGTAGCTAACGCGCCCCCGTGCCGCAGCTGCCCCATCGCCGCCTTGCTTCCCGCCGGTGACGTGCCGCGCCAGCAGCGCCTCCGTGGCGAAGGGCCCATGCGTGATGCTGAGGCGGCTGACGAAGTTGTCGGGGCACCACTTCATGATACGCGTGATGCAGAGCTCCCCGCACGCGGAGCACCGCTGTGGTTGGCAGCTGTCTCGGTGGGTCGGCATCTCGGTGGCAGGCAGCACCGCACCGCACTTGTAGCACATCGCCTGCTGCCTCTTGTTGCACTCGTCGAGGTGCTGCTGCATCAGCCCCTGCTTCACAATCTCGCGGCACCACGAGTTCACGCAGGTCACCTCGCGATCGTCGCAGTTGACGGTGTGGGCGTTGAGCTCCTTCTCAGGGATGCGCTTCCCGCAGAAGTGGCACCGCGACCAGTGGAGTTGGTCCCCCGCCCCCCTGCCGGCGTAGGGGCCGGCGCCGAGCCCGTTCACTCTGCCGCGGCCCGGCCTGTCGGGGCCCGCCGTGCCCCCACGCGAGACGGCCCTTTTTGAGTTGATGCAGCCCATCGCCGTGCCGCCGCCTCGCCGCTCCCCGCCGTCTGTGGTGTGTGTGTGTGTGTGCCCGCGCCGTATACTGCGCGTGAGCGTGACACACGGCGGCGAACAGAAAGAAAAAGAAAAGAAAAAAGAGCAGGAAGAAAAACGAATGGAAAATGAAACTCTCCATCGCCTCCAGCGCGGGCGAGACACTCAGGCAGAGGGAGAGGGAAAGGGGGAGCAAGAGAGCGAGAGGGAGACAAAGAAGAGGGAGATGAAGACAGAGAGAGTGGGGCGGAGGGGGCGGTGCCGATCGCTCGACTCGATCGCGCCGCTGTCGGCTGCCGAGTTACTATTGTTTTCTCTTATTCTTTCTTTTTATTCCCTCTTCGTTCTTTTGCTCCTTCCTGCGGCCACCAATCGCCCGCCGCCGCCGCCCGTTTGGGTTCATTTTGGCCGGTTGGCCCACGCTGCTGCTGCCGCTGCTGTTTTTGTTTTTGTGCGTCGGCACACACACACACACACACACACACACGCACACATGCGAAGAGGGAGAGGAAGAAGGGCAAGAAAAAAAAAAAAAAAATGGGTGGGGGCGGGGGAGCCGCCGTCACGCACGCGGACATGTGAGGAAAACAACGGCAACGTGGCGGAGAGTGAGGCTGCATGGCTGAATGGCACTCGCACATCCACGCGTGTACGCACAGCAGTAAAGCGAGATGGCGGTGGAGCCACCTCACCACATAATGCAAACGCGTCAAATAAGCCGCGTCCGGCTGCCGTCTTCTCCCCTCCTATTCCTACACAGGGGGAGGGGGGCACACAACAAAGCGGCGGCGACGGCTTGGCGCGGTGCCTGCCCAGCGTCCCCCCACTGAAGAGTCGGGTTCCCCCACACACACAGAGAGAGAGAAAGAGGGAGTGAGGGAAAGGAAGAAATGGATTCAAAGTAAGTGCGGCCATGGCAACCGGGGCTCTCGTCGTGAACTCACAAAGTGGCACTCCTGCAGGCCCCTGCTCCCCTGCGTGGAGGGCCGGGAAGGAGGTTGGGCCGGGATGACGGCGCGGCACACATAAAACAAGAAAAACAAAAACAAAAAGGGAGGCGCTGCGCCCGCCGCCCCCACCCCACGACGGTACCGCGTTGGAAACACAAGTCAAGTAATACATGAAAAAG